CGGTAATTAAACGTGGTTTAATATATACGTACGTGTTTTATTCGGTAACTTGAATAAAATATACGGTCAAAAATTCTGGCAAAAAATACATTTTATAAAACGTGTAAATACGTATACGTGTATAATACGACATCTCTTAGAAAAATTCGGGTTAAAAATACGGGCCTTATTTTGAATGATAAAATTATTGTACTAGTTTTTAGAGCATAAAACACATATAGTACATAAAGGATAATCAACATACACACACATTCAAATATAATATCTCATTACTCCATCAAAAAATGCATTCATAATAGCATAAGTTCATGACAAAAAGAATAATGATTAAGTCCAAAATAACATTTAAATTATATACTTCATAAAATAACATATAATAAAAAGAAATAAGAGTGTATACATATTGAAACAGCAAATCACATTACTATATAAACAGTGGCGGAACTAGGGGGCGAGCCGGTGCCGGCGCTCCCCCTTCTCCGGCGGTGGTTCTGTATATATATATATATGTATATATCTCAGCCCCAGTTCAGAAAGTATTCATATATTAAAGTGGAGTCGCTATTTAAATGTATGAGTTGTGATAGTTCAAATGGTAGGGTGGAGGTTGGGAGAGCTTTGTCTACCTAAATGGCCCGGGTTCAATTCTCAAGAGCAACAATTTGTTTTTGCTTTCTCCATTATTGCTTCTTTAGACTTTAGCCCATTTGGTAATTATTTATGTTCAATTAAATCACTCTAGGATGTAATGTTGTTTAAATCACACTTTTTGAATTTCTATATCTTTTATTTAAAATAATCATTTCTTCTTCTAATAATGACATATACGGACGTTGTCATTTAATGTCAAGAATAATTCTAAAACTACTTTAAGTTAATATAAGTATTTACCTTTTGTTTAGTATAATAGCATTTTTATTTGAAACACACTACATATACATATATATAAGTTTCGGATCAAATAAAAAGAGTTCTTATCATGAAAATTGATCGAAAATAAATCTTGTGCATTTAACTTGAGATCCGATGAGTCAAAATCAGTCAACAATGCACTATATTTTATCAAAAACTCGGTGACAATTTGATAAATAAATCAAATTTTTCTCTCATTGTGAAAAAGTGTAAAATAAATATCTACTAGTGTACCAAAACGAGTAAAAAATGCGCTCATTCTCATTTTTCACGGGAATAACTTTTTTTATTAGAACCTCACTCTATATGTATTAATAATTATTTTTCACTCATTTTTATTTTATCCTAATAAAAAATTGTTTTTCAAAAAAAAATATAAGAGCACCCCCTCAAATTATTGTCTAGTTCCGCCGCTGTATATAAAGAATAATTCATAATTGCATAAGCCGATGACAAAAGTAAAAATAGTACGGAGTAATTAAGTCCAAGACATAATTTTGTAAAGTAATATAAAAAATAAGGTATAATAACGATAGAATGGGGCCAAGTTAACATTATCATCATCATTATATGATCATCAAATAACATTCTCAAAGGTAAAAGTTATAACTAAAACCAAAATGAATTGCTATAAGAAGTATTATGATACCAAGTACCAAGTATATAACAAAGTTGTTCTCAATTGGAATGGCCTATTCCGATCAAGTGAAATATTTTTCAAAAAAGTCAGTTGGAATTGGCTATTCCGACTCGACTGTTTTATTTTTTTTTCAAATTTCTGGAGCCTAATTCTGAATCCCGTGTTTTTGGATGTCAGGTTTATACACAGTACAATCTAAATTATTTGAAGCAATGGATTATGGACCGTTTTTTTACTATTTCTCCATCCTAGATTCAAAGTCACATTTTAAGGGCCAAGAGCATTTCATTTTCTCAAAAGCATCCTAATATATACTCCCTCCGTCTCATATTTAACTCCGGTTTTAATCGGACACAAGTTTTAAGATAGTGGGATTTGTGTGGTGGAGAGTTTTGCAAAAGAGAGAGAAATGTGTAAGAATCGTTGTGAACCACATATTCTTTACCAAAAAGGGAAAAAGGAGATAAATTTGGAACGGACCGAAAAGAAAAGAATGAAGATAAATCCGGGACGGAGGAAGTACTTCGTATAATTTAAAAGCTTCCGGTACTCGTTGGTACAGTGGTGCCTGCGCAAACACAAAAACTTACAGATGAGTTTAAGAAATACTTCGTATAACTGGAAGTTAAATAATTACACACAATAAAAGTTCAAAAAAGAGGTTGTTTGACAAAAAGTAATGAAATCAAAATAAAAAAGAAAATTGTTGTATATTTCCTATATTTCAATAACAGGAGTTTACTTAAATAGTGAATATGTTCTATTTTTAATAATAACGCCATAAAATTGTTTTTAAAACAATCACTTTTTCGTTGAAGAAATCATTTTTTTTTACCAAAAAACGACTTTTGTTTCAATAGTGGAGCTTTATGTTGTGATGTAACTCGTGTTATGGAAAATGTAAAACATGTTGATGGGAAATCTAATTAAGGTGTATGCAAAATGTAACTTGTTGAGCCAAGTCCAAATGTAACTCGCGCATATATAGAAAGATGTAACGCATGCACAAGAAGATGTAACACGTGCATAAAAAGATGTAACTTCATATAATAACAAATATAAATATAGAAATTATCCATAAACATGACTCCCACGTATGAAAAATGTAATCTCATGATTTTTCAAATTTAAATAAAAATAAACAAACTTAATGTCTTTAGAAGACAAAAAACATATAAAAATATAAATATATTATAGAATAAAGTGTACGAATATAAAAAATATTTTTCAAAAAATGTATAAATGTTAAAAAAAATACACAAAAAAAATTCCTTGGTAATTTCAGTTGAAGAAAAAAAAGTAAAAAATAGTGTATGATGATGAAACCAAATATGGATTTAGGGGGGGGGGGGGCTTGGAGTTTTAAAATTTTTCATTATATATGTAATATTTTCATAAAAATTTTCATACTCTAATTAGATATATATGTGTTCGCCCCCTTTAACTTTTAGTTTTCAAAATTAATATATAGCCTTACATAATGTAAAACTTAATTGGAGATTTAAAAGAAGAAACGTCTAAAATAATTTACATACTTAAACAAATAAATAATATAATAGAACAACTATGATCATTGTTTAAGACTTGGGATATTTATTATATAAAAATTCCTAGTTTTGTAATGTTTAGTTATCTTTATTAGATAATAATACTCGATTTTGTAAAATATCAAATGATATTAACTACCACACACACTAGTTAAATAATTTTTAGATCATGTAAGATGAATCCAAAATATACATTTTTGTTGACATTACATTACACAATTCATTTACTTGTTACATTCTACAAACTAATTATTGCATAGACAATAAATTTTAACTTATTTTACTATTAATGCAAATATAATATGCTACATATATATGAATCAGTAATATAATATTATTCTACAAATAATAATGTCATACATACTATAGTAATAATAATAAAACTCTTCATGACTCACAAACAATCTCTTTGTTGGACAAAAATTGTAATTAAAAAATTCAATTTTTTATTTTGATAAAGAGTCATGGGGTTAAACAAGGCAAAAATTATTTAAAAAGTATTGGTGGATGTATACCTTTTAAACTCTTTATCATCAAATAATTTTCCTTTGGGTTGCTATTTCTTACGATTTAATGTATCAATACTTTTTTAGAGCATTTCAATTATAAAATCAAATTTATTTTTCCATTGTCTAAACTTAGAATGTAATAGTTTTAAATGTCATCGTGTATGTATTAATAAAAAAATTGAATAAAAATTGCCACGAGCCTATATTATAAAAAAATTGCTCCGCTACACTAGCGGAAATAAATTCTCCGCGCTACACTAGCGAAATTTTTCACCCCCTACACTCATGAAAAAAATTCACCCCCTTGACCAGAAATCCTGGATCCGTCCCTGGATGAAATGCAATATGCTCACTACACTTATTTTATGTTGATTAATAAAATTTTGTAATAAATTTGTGAAGACAAAAACTAATTCAGTTGTAATTTAATTAGTTAAATATAAGGATAAGTAAAAATCACAAATAATTAGATGTAACTCACGTATAATTAGATGTATCTAGCGCAAACCAAGATCTAACTTACGCATAACAAGATGTAACTTACGCATAATAAGATGTAACTCGCACATAAGAAGATGTAACTTCATGATATATTATCAAATGTAACTTCAAGAATCAAATTAAAATAAACAAATCCAATGTCTTAAAAACCTCTAAATAAAACCATATAAAAGAGATAAAAAAATTAGAGAAAAAGTGTATGCATATAAAAAAATGTAACAAAAAAGTGTATGAATATAAAAAATTTACAAAAAAGTGTATAAATATAAAAAATATTACAAAAATAAAAATAGTGTATGAATATGAGATGCAATATACTTGTTTCAATTATATTAATAAACTTTTTGTTATGTAATGATAAAGAATACAAAAATAGATTCAATTATTATAATTTAAGTTGATGATATAGAAAAGTAAAATTGCAATTAAATTTTTAATATTTTAATTTGATGGAAAATGAGAAGAATGGAAGAAAAGAAAAATAAAGAAAGAAAAGCAAAATAAAAAGCCATAACAAAGCTCCAGGAGCCAGAGAAAAAAAGAAAACAAGCCTTAAGTGGGATCAACACACCAGGCGGAAGGTGGACAGATTCCACGGTATAATTTAGGTAGGATAATCACAATAAACATAAACTAGCTAGTGTAGCACCCCAGATCAATTACACGGTAATAATAATAATAATAATAATAATAATAATAATAATAATAATAATAACAATAACAATAATAACAACAACAACAACAACAACAACAATAATAATAATAATAATAATAATAATAAGAATAATAATAATAATGCACGAGATGTATTGATGTGTATAAGAAAGTGTACAAAAGGAATTCGTATGATCGTACGTTCCGAGTACTATAAAATGTGTCATCTTTTAACAGGTTGCAAGGACCGTATGCAAAGTGCCCTTATTGTAATGGGAGAAATAGGAGGAAATGACTACAATGTTCCATTTATGCAAGACCGTCCCACGAAAGAGGTCATGTCATATGTCCCTGAGAGCATCTTCAATGCTAAAACGTTAACGGTGCATACGTGGCACGAGAAATAACCAATTAAAAAACAATAAACAGAATATCTCTCTCCTTATTTAAAGGATCTTACATTATTTTGATAAGTTTTTCTTTACAATGTCAAGCACAATGTCTACATGTAGACATTGTAGTTGACATTGCAGACAAAAACTAATCAAAACACATAAGACCGTGGAAAGAATGAGAGAGAAATGTCATAAAATCAATATTTTGTGTCTATCCCTCTCATGTCACATGTGTACCGTGCACATTGTAACATTGAAGATGCTCTGATGTTATTAGCGTCATCAGCTTAGCTATCAATGTGAGTATATTTTCCCATCCGAAAAATTCAATCCATACCAATTAAGCAATTAGGGTATGTTCGCAAATTATACCGTGGGATCGGCCCACCTTCCGCATGGTGTGCCGATCCCACTTTTGGCAAGTTACGTTGCTTTCTTTCCTTTCCCTTAGAGCTTCTTCCTTCCTTTTTTTGCTATTCTTTATTTATTTTTCTTTTCTTCAATTATTTTCCATTTCCATCAAATTAAAATATTAAAAATGTAACTGCAGTTTTAATTTTTCTTATCTTCAATTTAAATTATAATTGAATCAATTTTTTTTATTCTTTATCAATACATAAAAAAAAGTTTAATAATCTAAATAAGATAAGTACATTGCATTTCATATTCATACACTATTTTTTGTAATATCTTTTTATATTCATACATTTTTTTGTAATATCTTTTTATATGCATACACTCAATTTTTTTATTGAGTTTGTTTATTTTGATTCTAGCTTGGGTTACATTTGATAATATACGAAGTTACATTATCTTATACTCGAGTTACATGTTATTATGCGTGAGTTACATCTTCTTATGCGCGAGTTACATACTTTTGTGCGCGAGTTACATCTAATTATGCGTGAGTTACATCTAATTATTTGTGATATTTTACTTATCTTTATCTTGAACTAATTAAATTCTAACTGAATTTTTTTTTTTACCAATTTAATACAAAATTTTATTTATCCACATAAAATAAGTATATTGTATGTCATATTCATACACTATTTCTTACTTTGTATACTTTTTTTATATTTATTACACACATTTTTTGTAAAATATTTTTTATATTCATATACTCCCTCCGTTCCCAAAAATACTTCCCACTTTCCTTTTTGGGTTGTTCCCAAAAATACTTCCCACTTTCCTATTTTGGACAATTTGTGTGGCTCACATTCTTTTACCTTTTTCTTACACAACCACAACCATACATTTTCACTTTATTCCACTTTCTTAATAAGCGTGCCAAGTCAAACCGGGAAGAATTTTTAGGAACGGAGGGAGTACTTTTTTCTATAATATATTTCTTATCTCTTTTATATGTTTTTTTGTGTTTTATAGACATTAAGGTTGTTTATTTCGATTTAAATTTGAAAAAACATGAGAGTAATACATTTTTCATATGTGTGAGTTATATTTATAGACAATTTCTATAATTACATTTGATATTATATGGAGTTACATCTTCTTATGCACGATTTACATCTTCTTGTGCGTGAGTTACATCTTTTTATACGCGAGTTACATTTGAGTTTTCCTTAACAAGTTACATTTTGCATACACTAAAGTTAGATTTTCAATCAACACGAGTTACATTTTCTATAATACGAATTACATGACAACATAAAGCCTACTATTGAAACAAAAGAATCATTGTTATGCAAAAAAAAATGTTTCCAAAAAAATATGTGTTTTGGCAAAAAATATATTTTAAAAACATTTTTATGGACTTAATATTAAAAACAAAATATATTCACCATTTATGTTAACCCTTGCTATTAAATAAAAAAAATCACTTTTTTTTACAAAAACAAAATGAGGTTTTGGCAAAAAAAATAATTTTTTGGCAAAAAAAGATAAAAAAAACATTTTTATGTCCTTAATATTAAAAACAACACATATAAACTATTTAAGTAATGTAATTGAGCAATCAGACTCCTTGTTTTCATTAAAAGCAATGTTTTATTTCTTATAATTCGTATTATACAAGTTACATTTCGACTTGCTTGTTCTTACATTTCTTGTACTGTTAGCGTGAGTTACATTTTGTTACACGCGAGTTGCACCTATTCCGCTACTGGGACAATGAAAAAACAAAAATGAAGTTATTGTTCACGCGTGTGAACAGTAACACGCTTTTTTTGCTGTAGGAGCAGCATGCTCATCGTGGGCTGCTCCCACGGTATACCAACTGGGTATGTTTGGCACAACTGAACAGATATTTTTATGAACTTTTTAGTAATTATTAGCTTCTAGTGACTGAAAAGATTTTAAAGAAAAAAGGTGGTAGTTGTTTGGTAAAAAGGTGATTGTTTGATTTAGTTCAATTTGGTATACAAGCCGTTATGACTAATTAATACTAAAAGTCACGGGCTTTTTTCAGATGCTACTCCCTGTAGCATCTCAAAAAAAATTAATTTTTGAAAAACTCTTAAAAATTGTCATGTCGAATATATAACTAGAAGGTTTTAGAGACATTTTGAACAATACAAAAGCTAGAAGGTAAAGACTTATGTCTGTCAAACATATGGTATGTTTGGCACGAGTAGCTGAAAAGATACTTTTGTGAGCTTTTTAATAACTGTTAGCTTTTAGTAACTGAAAAAAACTTAATGAAAAAAGGTGCATGGTAGCTGTTTGGTAAAAAGCAGACTGTTTAATTTAGTTCGATTTGGTATACAAGCTGTTAGGACTAATTAATAATAAAATTCACAGGCTTTTTTTCAAATGTTACTCCCTGAAGCATCTCCAAAAAGATCTTTTAATTTTTGAAAATCTCTTCAAAATTGTCATGTCGAACATATAACTAAAAGTTTTTAGAAACTTTTTGAACAGTACAAAAGCCAAAAAGTAGAGACTTATGTCTGCCAAACATAACGTTAACACAACTTGATTTTTAATTATGCCACTCTTCTCTTATTGGTTGAACTTGGAGTTCAAACACTGATGGTTCCTGGAAATCTACCCATTGGATGCTCAGCCGCCTACCTCACCCATTTCTCAACTACGAATAAGAATGCTTACGATGCCAAAACTGGCTGTCTAAACTGGCTTAATGACTTCTCTCAATACCATAATCAGCTCCTTCAGGATGAACTTGGCCGTCTTCGCCAACTTCATCCAAATGTCAATATTATATATGCCGATTATTACAATGCAGCAATGAGAATTTATCGGGAACCTAGTAAATTTGGTAATTTTCATATCCCACTTAGGAAGTGTACTGGATTCAGTCCTATATTATACTCCCTCCGTCCCAATTTGTTTTGCAATGTCAACATATTTTGCTCAACCAATATTAAAAGTCAATACTCCCTATTGATAATTAATTCAATTTTTAACAATTAAAATCTACATATTCAGAAACTACGATAAAATCTTGTCAAAGTTGCAAACTCCAAATTAGAATACTACGCAGTATTAAGAATTGACTTGTAATTAAGCGAATAAAATGAAATTATTTGATCAAGAAAAGTCAAATTTGCAAATCAATTTGGGACGGAGTTAGTACCATATTTGACCGAATCAGAAAATTATATTGCCAAACAAGGCCTTACCATAAATTTTTGGGAAAATGTGCAAATAAGCTTTCGAACTAACCGAAAAAGTGCAAATCACCCCTTTTATTGGAGGCTATTTACGGCCGTCGCCATTTGGGGAGGTTTCCTGTGGAATTTTTTGATGATTTTTTTTGAGCATCTTCTTCGTTAAGCCTAGTTTATCCATACCAAGTTAAGCTAAAAATTCAACCGGGAAGGCATTCAAATGATTTTCTAAAATATACTGCGTTGTTTAACTATGCAGTTATCTTCAAACATTTATTTGACTGTGTTCGTGATTGCATGTTTATCTGAAATTTGGTATGGGTAAACTAGACTTAATGAGTAAGATGCTCAAAAAAAATCATCAAAAAATTCCACCGATAACCGCTCTAAATGGCAACGGCCAGATAGAGCCTTCTATAAAAGGGATGATTTGCATTTTTTCGGTTAGTTCGAGGGCTTATTTTCCCCTTTTTCTTATGGTGTAATAATGTTTAAATTCTCCAGGATTTGTAAGTACAACAAGTGCATGTTGCGGTGGAGAAGGTCCATATCATTATAACTTTTCTGTTCGGTGTGGACGAGAAGGATCAACAATGTGTGATGATTCTTCGACCTATGTTGGTTGGGATGGAATTCACTTAACAGAGTCTGCTTACTATGAGATAGCAAGAGGATTGCTTGAAGGACCATACACAATTCCGCGCTTCAATGAACTTTTTTCATTCAAGAATAGCTTCCGTATACACAAGGACAAGGATATGAAAGTGAGAGACTTTTAATTCACAGTTGATCTTACATTACAACTTTCCAAAGTAATGAACGCATTCATATGCGAACAATATGTGCGACCTTTATATTATGTTACATATACTTTTATAATTCAAATAATCAGCTCAAAGCTGATATTCCTTGTATAAAGAAGTTTAATACTCCTATTTAGAACTTAGACCAGAGAATATTATGGAGTACTTCATAAACAGTGATAAACGACTTCTGGCCTTCATCCAGTTTGTTCATAAATGGCTTTAAATTATATCTTTATTTATTTTGTAAGGTATTGGTCGTGTTAGGACTAAAACTTATGAATGAGAAAGATTTTTATTGTGATTAAAAGACTAGTTTATAACTACTACGGGGTAGTATATTTATATCTCTTGCTTCATAATAAAGGGATCAGTTTTCCAGATTCAATATTAATAGTGTATTTCTATGCGAAAAAATTTCCTAACATTTCTCTTAGAGAGATATAACCATTCTTTCGAATAAGAAGAAATTATGCGGATACCCAAGGAAGATACGTAAGTTTTAATTCAGATTTATTATTATTGTTATATTTATTGTTTTTTCGTAATAAGCGAATATCTGTTTGGGAAAAATTTTAAAATTCTGCTGCTGTACTTTGGAGGTACGTTACACAAATTTCCTACCAATCGTATGAGAGACAGATGGATTTTAATGATATTATATAAATTTGGTTTAATACCTTCATGGGTTGCATATGTCTTTCGGATAATATATTCTGGCCTAATTTAATTTATGAGGTTGAATTGATTTTTGAAATCATAAGTTAAAGTACTCTGTAATACGAAGTATATAGAGATTTTACTTTTGAAATTAAAGTCTGTAAAATCTGGAATCTGATTTAATCTCCATGGTGGCTGCGTATTAGATATTCGGGCATATTCCTTTAACCTGCGATTTTCTTCCGTCCCCTCTATTTTTTGTTTTTGTCTTCAAATCGAATATTTTTGCTAGAGCATCTATCTGCGGAAGAGGCGGATTGCAGCCTTTGCAGGGCACTCCGATTTTTTTTTTCTTTTTCGATTTTCCTCTTGAGTTCAAGTTTAGAGTAAAAACAAAGAACAGTGACCTTTGTTAATTGCACTCAAAATAAATACAATACAACGAATATACGTAGTATAACGAAGTAAAGTTCGTATCCACAGGGAAATGAATACTTTTCTTTTATATAAATAGTAACAAGGGGGGTTTTAAGTTTGATTTAAAACACTAAGATAAACAACCTATATGAGTTTAATTCAATGAGATGAGGACTTGGTTTTGCTTTTATCCACTTAATGAAATGTTCGTCGATCCCGGTTATATCTTTAACTATCTTCCTCTTGAATACTCAATCGAGGAGTATATCCAGTTCATCGAGGGTAGTTATTAATAACGAGATGCGTTCATTAATAAAACTTACTATCGAGTCAATATAGAACAAGCGCCGTATATTAACTTGATAGTAGCAATAAACTTAAGATGAAAACGATTGAGATTGATAACCACAACACAAGCGGTTTATTGGTTTAATCAATATAATTAATTCCCCTTGGCATATTAACCATGAGATGCATGCATTAATATTCCATGTTTGCTACCGTTGAAAAAACCGAATTAATAACAAGCGTATTAACCGATTGATTTCTAGTAATAATTAATATGAGAAACAATACTAGTTGATACTTTAAGTAATGTTTAAGATATTAACATGAAATATGAATAGGAATTAATTAATACTCAAGGAAGAATATTAAAGAATATGAATCCTACTATGATTAATATCAAGATGTTAACTAATTGTCATCTTAGTAACACTCCCCAATATTAACATAGAGGAAGAAATAGCTATTACTATATATATAACCAATGTCAAGATGTTAACTAATTGTCATCTTAGTAACACTCCCCAGCTTTGATATAGAAATAGTATTTTAAAAGAAGAATTAATATTCAAGGAAGAAGATTAAAGAAAATAACTCACAACTTACAAATTCATTAAGCTTCAAAGTAGCAAAACCAAGATGGAAGAGTTTAGCTCCTCATTTGGAGACTAAACATGATGAAAAATATAAAGAAAGAACTATTCTATAATGAGCTTATATGTACAAAGGAATTGGATATGTTTTTGTGAAGGAAAGGAGGTGTATTTATAGGCTTTTGGGATGGGATTCGGGTACTCGATCGGGTATATACATGGTACCCGATCGAGTATGTATGTAATACTCGATCCGAGGTATACTCGATCGGTTTCAGGCTATTTTCCATAAGTATACCCGATCGGGTATATATTAATACCCGGTCGAGTATGCTTAGAAAGTGGTATTCAGACCATACTCGACCGATCTTCGTTTAAAACTCAAAGGCATACCCGATCGGGTATGTCGGTCTACCCGATCGGGTATAGACATTAAATCGTGGCCGAAATCCTCCCGGCATGTTCCCTTGTCTTCGGATCTAATCCGATTTGAAGTTTCAACCTAATACCCGATCGAGTATAGTTAATACTCGACCGAGTATAGACCAAAATTCAGGATCCTTCTTTTGTCTTCAATTTTGCACCTTCTTTCCACTCTTTGGGTTCACCAACTGTACTTTGAGTGATCAAGACCTGTTTGAGCTCAGAATATGCCTAATCTAAACTATTTACAAGAATTTAACAAACTAATCTATTACACCAAAAGTGTGTAATTTCCATAGTAAAGATCAAGCAAAACTAATTAAAAACATAAACATGCATATGGAAATTACAAACGTATCAGTAATTTTTACTAGTAAAAACTTAAAAACTGGAAAGGAACCTGGAGTTTACCTGTTTAGGCTGGGTCTTCACGGACAGTTTGACAGTCCAAATTGAATTAGATAACCATTTTTGACGATGCATTGGCTGAAACTTATTACGTGTCTTGGAGGTTAAAAAAGTTTCTGATTATTGAGTGTCACAAATACTTAGCCTTATCTCTATGATATAGCGTTTTCAGCGAAAATAGAGCACTTTTAACGTAAATACAGTGTATTTTAGTAATTAGGCAATTATCCCTTGATATTTCCTGCGTTTTCTACGTTTGACCCGACTGCTCGAGAGTAACACGTTACTGATGCTAAAAGTGTGCAATGTGTTGTGTTGGCTGCAACCAACACAGGGCAAATCGACAACAACCAACGCAGAGCAAATAGACAACAACTAAAGCAGAGCGAATCGACAGTAACGAGGAAATAAAAGGCAATGAACGAGCAATTTATGTACCTTAAGCATTAATCTAGGTCAATATGCTTGGTAATTATACTCTACTCCTGTATATGGTTGTTAATCTATTTCTTTGTCCTTAATCTATTTGATTTCTTCCCACTCGTGGAGCAAGTAGTTGGTCAATGTGTCATGTTTCAGCTACTAGACCAACTTGTTGGAGAATTGCTTGAATGAAAACACAAGGTGCCTAATTCCTAAAATGAGTAAATATATGAATGATGATGTATTATGCTGATTTTTATTATGAGTTTTCTATGCTATGAAAATGGGAAAACACACGCACATGCATAATACTAAAGAGCGAAGGTCTAACTTCCTTCTGTATTCTTTTCTGGAAAGGGAAGTCACTAAAATTTTAAGTTGCCACTCAAAACTGACTTGAATGTAGTTTGAATGCTCTGAATGTCTATGGGGTATGTGTTAAGTTTTTTTTTTTGCACATATTTTTGGCCGTCCATCTCCAAATGACATTCTCTAGTGGTGTAAGTAACTTGATCTGCTGATTTTAATTTTATTCTATGTTGACGTTTTAAACATAAGTACCTTGTAAGACATTTATTTCTTTGAAAATCATGCAGACTTTGTGTTAATAAACTGACACATGTTAATGTCTCAGTTTCATGTGATTTCTCTATTAAATAAGCTCTGCTGGCAGGTAGTGAAAGAACACATTTTGCAGGTTTGTTCATTTGTTAATTCTTATGTGAAAGAATACTATTTTCAATTCTGGAATCTCCTTTACATTCAGTTTGGTTTCTGATAGAGTATTAACTCCTAGATTCTAGAGAGAAGTGAGAGCTAGAGAGAGAAGTGCAATAATATGCTTCAATAGAATGAATTTGTCGCTCCTATAACTACTCCCAAGGGGAGTATTTATAGAGAAAATTAGGGTTGGGCTCCCAAGCCTTGGGCTTGGGAGGCCCATTTACAACTGGACCGCTACTGGGCCGAATACAAAGCCACTAATGGGCTGTACAAGTGAGTAAGTGTAGGATCCGATTCTGGGAGGTCCTCGTGGCCGACGAGGGCACGGCCGACGAGGGCACGGCCGACGAGGGCACCCGGGTTCCTTGGACTCGGGATCATAATCCGGGTTGGCTTCCTCTCGGCCGACGGGGGCATCTTGGCCGACGAGGGCGTTTGGCTGACGAGGGCGCCACTCTGTCTCGTGCTCTGTTCTTCCGAGTATGTGGGTCCTGGGGCTCAGACCCATATACTCCATCAGGAGTCCCCCACTCTCTAAGCTGAGACGTAGACGAAGTGAAGGAGAGTAGATTTCTGTGCTGTTGCTTTTGGCCGACGCGGGCATTTCCAGGCCGTTAGCCGTTGTGGCGTTGGCGTTGTTTCCTCTGGTGATCCTATTCTGTGCTTTGGCCGTTACCTGTTCCTTGCTGTGGGCGGGGAGGCCGTCATTTCCTTAATGTGTTTTGGGATGATGAGTGTCCTTCCTTCAATGGTGGCCGTTGAGGGCGCGCTTTCCCTTTCCTGGCCGTTGGTGTTTGAAGTTTACGTTTGGGCCGGTGAGGCCGTTGAGGTTGTTCCTTTGTGTTTTTGGCCGAAGAGCCCGTCAAGATTAATTGTTGGCGGAGGACGATGAGTGTCCTTGCCTCTAGTGGCTTGTTGGCCGTTGCTAGTGACGTTGTGGGCCTTTGGCCGATGAGGTTCTGTTGTGCTGTATGGATGATGTGGCCATGTTTTGTGGTTACCTCGTTTATACCTTTGTTTCGTTGAGGCCGGTGTAGTCCCCCAGTCCCCCACTGCTTCAGGCCGAAGAGAGTGAGGGGTGAAGGAGTTGCCTGAGTCCTTGGCCGAAGCGGTCTCGCCGTAGTCCCCCTGAATCCAACTCTCATGGCGATTTTCTGGCCAAGGTAACCCTGTGGGAGAACCCTTGTGCGCAGATCGCTTGTAGAGAGTTATCATCAAGGGTTATTACGAGGAGCCGAAGGCTGTGGGCTATTTGTTCCCTTTGTTCTGTGGCCGTTACGTACCTGGCCGTTGCCATCCTCTTATT